TAAATGAAAGTAAAGTCACCTCAGAGTCCTCAGAGAGAGTTTACAGTCACGGCAAAACTAAAATATTTCCTGAAGCCAGGAATGTTTGTCGTTATCATGATAATGTCTTTCTAACTGGGTTCTTACTCTCTGTGTGCCTCGGCTCCGCTGTGTCCAGAGACAACAAAAAATCCAGAGGGACCGGCTGATGAATGATTTCTCAGCTGCTCTCAATAACTTCCAAGCAGTCCAGAGGCGCGCGGCTGAGAAGGAGAAGGAGTCGGTGGCCCGAGCGAGAGCCGGGTCTCGCCTGTCGGTAAGTGACACAGCCGTCATTTTAAATTTCAGTTATCAGAATAAATACCCGCTACCTCGATTTACAAACATGTGACCTGATGGTTCTGGAGAAGTGTTGCAGTGGATGTTGCTTCCACTTTTACGAGTCCTCAGAATCATATGAATGCTGTAAGACTGTGAATCAGCCACGCTGCAAGTAATTTGTCTGAAATATCACAAACGTGGCCTTACAGACAGCTCTGCAAATATGGAAACACGCAGTGGGAACAATGGGTCAGTGGCAACTGTGGCTGATATTTTTCCATGCATTCATATTTAGTTTGTAGCTGTAGCTCCACTGCTTCGCTGAACTTTGTTGTTCATCACACCACAAAGGATATTAGAGCTGCCTTACCACAAGCAGGTGACTGACAGGATACCCAGACAGAGCAGCATGCTGGGCTGTTGCAACATTTGGATGGCGTGGTCTGAACTTTGGTTCAGGCTCCTCCAAGAGCCACCTCGTCAGGACTCTGCAGTCTATTCACACCTACAGGCCAGTGGACACTGTTTCAATGATGAGGATGTAACATCCTGGACAGGGAGGAACGCTGGTTTGAGGGCGGAGTCAAGGAGGGAAAGACCATCTCTGAATGGAGGAGGGGCCTAAGGGTCCATCTGTCACCATCTTACAATGCTGTGATTGCAGCCTCTTTGAATGGGACTCATGGTTATTGATCAGTGGTTGTTGATCAATGGTCATGACAATTTGCATAATTAAGATGAAGGAACTGACCTCCCAGCCCATTGTTCCTTCAGTGGGCTGGTTTCAGTCATTATGCAAATGTCCTGTTTATAAGATTGAAGCCTGCAGCTGAGACTGAAGACGTCACCTGATGATGATGATGAAACGTTTCTTCCACTGAAAACTTCCAGAATCAAACTTTTGGGTTTGGCTGCAGAGTGTAAATGACTGATAAAAAACTTGATATAAGGAAAATGAGAGAGATCAATATAATCAATTATGATTGAAGGAGTCAGGAACCACCGACCTTCCAAAAACTACCAGAAAATGAGTTGAAATGACTTGAAAAACCGCATAAAAAGTACATCAGATGTTTGTCTGCTAGCCTAAAGTTTGTCTCTACATTCAGACTTTTGATCCGTTTATCTTCAAACCAAAGAGGAAAAAACAACCCTGACATTGACTGAATTTTTCCTTCTCTCTTAGGCTGACGACAGCTCTCGGGATGAAAAGCTTGTGTCCTTTGATAAGTAAGTGACCTCTGTTTGTTGCAAGTGTGTCATGAAGACCTGCAGTGTCACTTAAAAAGACCATTTGCAGTCTGCCTGAAGATGGAGGAGAAAGAATAAATGTGTCCAATTCTAATCTTTACACACATTGTTCAGCTGTTCACGTGATTACTGAAATGTTGTTATGTCCTGTGAAGCCAAGATGAGTGGGGTCAGATGACCACCCAGACGGAGGAAGTGGTCATCACGGAGGAGGACCTGGAGCTCATCAAGGAGAGGGAAACCAACATCAGACAGCTGGAGGTGATCCTCGCTCGCTCTTTCTATAATCGACATCCAGCACGCTGCCGTCAGCGCTCAGCTAACATCTGTGTCTTTACAGTCTGATATCATGGACGTCAACCAGATCTTCAAGGACCTGGCTGTGATGATTCATGACCAGGGAGAGATGATTGGTAAGTAACAGGAATGTTGTTATTCCCATCACTGTGAAGTAACCATTAATTGGTTCCTCTATCAATAATCTATCTGTCCTCCTTTAAAACCGACCCTCACTCCCTATCAGCTCAACCCAGAATGGTCAGCCTGCAGCTCCGTCAGCCTGCAGCTCCGTCAGCCTGCAGCTCCATCCTCTCTGACCAACATGCACAAAACATTCACAGCGCTTCCACATTGTGTCACAGCCTCAATCAGTTTCCACCTCACATCTTTACACACAATAACCCATGAAGTAAATTCCACTTGAAAATGTTCCACATGTGTTAAAAACAAAAAACCAAAGTAGCGTGCACACAAGTATCCACGGCTCTGTTCAGGACTAGGTTGGTTAGAGGTGGGAATCACCATACATCCCACGATACGATATTATCACAATACTTAACGCACGATACGATATTATTGCAATTTTTAAAAATATTTTGTGATATTCAGATTCTGTACATAAAGGTAAACTTTATCAATATTCATTTTCTCTAATATCAAAGTCTCACACTCAGTCTTTCTCTCATTTCAGTTTGATTGTTGACAAACTGAACGGTTTGTATTACAGTCTAGTCCAACTTAACTGAATCAACCATCTGGTACAATTATAGCTATTCTGAACTATGCAGTTTATGAAAACTATGCAGCCCCTTCAGCAACTGAAGAATTTGAAAGTAAATTAAAACAAAATATAATTTTACATTAAATAAAAAAGTTTTAAACTTAATTAAAATAAAACATGTCTTAAATTAAAATAAGTAAACTGTCATGTTTATTAAACACATTTGGACAGTGAAGGAATGTCAGGATTCTTGCTCAGAAAAAGGATCAACATGCTCTGAAGTCAGAGCACAAAAACCTTTTTGTAACAAAGTATCGATTTCTGCTGTCCCTGTATCCATACATTATTAGAAACAAAATATCACCATGCTACACAGTATCCATTTTTTCCCCACCCCTAATGTTGAAGCACTTCACTGGGACCCTTCCCCAGATCTGCGCCTCGATACAAACCTGAGGTCTGCAGACCTTCCTTGAACGTTTTGGCTTGGTCTGCGCTCTGACATGCACTGTCAGCAGAAGGACAGTAGACACACAGGTGTGTGTCTCTCCAAGTCATGTCCAATCAACCGCGTCTACAGCAGTGGACTCGAGTCAAATCAGCAGAAGCAGGATCCACCTGAGCTCAAATCTCATATAAATACATGTTAGATGTTTGTTTCCCAGTTTGGAGTAACCAGTTAACCAAACTAAAAGTCTTGTCTTTGCAGGCAGCACATGTCCAGGGCAGCTTGCTGTTAGCTCCCAGCTGACCGTGGTGTCTTCTTGTCTTCCTGCAGATAGCATCGAGGCCAACGTGGAGAATGCTGAAGTTCACGTAGAACGAGGAACCGAGCAGCTGCAGAGAGCTGCTTACTATCAGGTGGGTGTGTCAGTCACCGCTCTGTGGTGTCATTAAGCGCAGACCCTCACCATAACCCTGCTGTCCCGTCTTTATCGCAGCAAAAGTCCCGGAAGAAGATCTGCATCCTGGTTATGGTCTGCGCTGTCGTGCTCGTCATACTCTCCGTCATCATCTGGTGGGCGGCCAAATGAGCCGATGTCAAGCAGCCAATGTAATCGTTTCAGTCCCCTCCCACCTGCTTGGAATCAAAAGAAGAGTAAGAAACGGCTCATCCCTGCACCAAGATCAGTGGAGCACGTCTACAAAGGGCTTGTCAATGTGGAAATCGTAGTTATCTGAAATAATCGAGCCTTTGTGTTCCTTTAGAAACTGTAAGAGGTGATGTAGGGGACGAGGACTGGGTTGGTGCAGGGGAGCGATTCAAGACTTGAGATTCCTAAATTAGCGTCACTGATACATTTCTTCTTATTAACTGCACTAACACTAGCTCTCACTGTTATGTAAAAAAATATTGTTGGAAATTATTTTAAAGACATGCACACAAGCTCGTCTGGGTAACTGAAGATATTTAGGGTTTTTGTTGTTGTCCATAAACATGTTGTGGCCCTTTCTGATGTCTAGTGTGTGGAGAACTGTATCCTGCTGTGGTTCCTTGTCTTCACAGGCACAACATGCTGGTAATGCCAGCGATGGTTAAATCGTACATGTTGTAAAAGCAAAGTTGAAAATATTAGAAGTCGAATTCAACTCTGCGTTAGTTCAAACATCAAGAATCGTAAATAATCGCTCCTTCAGATCAAGTGTTTTAAGTTGATTTCTATGAACCCTGACAGTATGATAATAAATGTCTTAAACATTTGCTGTTCTGTGGTTTCCCTCTGTGATTGGACACATCAGCTTTACTTGATTTACAGTTGTTGGAAAAGCAAAGTTGCTCTTTAGTTAGTGAAGGAAATCATCTCGACTTTGAGTCTGGTTACTCTGTCAGCATCACTAAATGTGTTTGGCATCATCACTGAAAACCGATAAATGGGTCTAGAAAGCAAGAGGTGATCATTTCCTCAAGTTCTCCAAATCTGCACGCTGCTCTCAGAGTGAATCGAAGACTGCTGGGTCCCTGGGAGCTAAATTGGACTGCACAATCTGGCTGGAGCTTTTCTGAGTTTGCATGTTCTCCCAGTGTTTGCGTGGGTTTTATCCAGGTACTGCAGCTTCCTCCCACAGTCCAAAAACATGCAGTTAATGGGGTTAAGTTAATTGGTCATTGGTGTGAATATGGGTGTTGTTTGCCTGTGTGGTAGCCTGGCATCAGACTGGTGACCTGTCCAGAGTGTACCCCACCTCT